CAGACTTTCCCAGACCGGACCTGTTGTTCAAGGACCTCTTGTTCAACTTGTTAATGCCTTAATCCTCTTCCCTGCTTTAGATGCATGCTATGACAGGACTTGGAAGTTCAGCAACCCAGAGCAGTGCTTGCATTGTTAGCAAGCTGAAACATTTTCTTTGCAGAAAGCAAGTGATTATATAAACGATGGGAGAAAATGAAAAAAAAGTAAAGTGTGGGATTAACATGATGCCTCCCATGGTTTCCTTCTGGTATGAAAGCACGCTCAGAAGAATTCAAGAAGTACTATGTCCAAGACAACTTTGGTCTGAGCAAATGCAGAACTACTCCTTTGTCTGAAAAGGGAACTTGCCTGAACGAGCTGGCAAGAGTGGGCAACTGCATGTAGATAGAAATTATTTGAGAGTGACTTACAGTCTGTAGTTATTGGCCTGCTGGGAGCGTTTGAACCGCTTCTAGGCGTGCGTGCAAAAGGTAATTGAGTGGCTGTCTAACAACAGCCCCACCTCAGCTCAGGACTGCCAGAAGAGTAGCCCTTCTGTTTTTGGCCCCTGCCTGATCATGCCAGCACAACGAGATGGTGGAAGTTGCAGCTAAACTAAGATCAGTTTGGATGAAAACTAACAAGTTTGCTTGGGCTGCTCTTCAGCTGGATTCTTTCTAAAAATGTAAGAAAGTTGAACGCCTACTTGATTTTTGTATTTTTAGGTGTCCTAGAAGTCGGCTCATGGATAGGATGCGCATACTGAGGTTTGAGGGGCTCTTAGATTCTTACATTTGGGTTTTGTCAACCCTGCTTGCAGAGAAGTAAAGCATTCATAAATTATTATATCTCAATTTCTTCCTTGATATCATCCAGGCTTCTGAGAGGTATGCGTGAAAGAGCGCTCTCCTGAAAAGGAAGGCACAGAGGAGGTCAATCGGAGGATGCGGGAAAATGTTTGGGCTACAGTCTGGAATTTTTCATGAATTCTCCCAGGTCTCCAAATCACTGGTGTGTAAAAGTTTGGTTTTTTTGGAACAGTCTGCAGGGCATGAGGATTTTGGGAGTAATAGAGGCTAGGTTATATGCTTCACAGAGCCTAGACTTTGTCCAAGACACGCTTCCATTGTCAGCTGAAATATTGCTGGCCTCCAAAGGAACAAGCATGCTGTCTGTACTGGACCTCCGTTTCTCTGCATCAAGATGAGCACTGGGTGCCTTTGCATCAAGTAACTAAAGTGTTGAATTGAAGTGAGACACGGGGTTCATCCCTTTAGCTCACGTGAGCACTTTCTTGTGGTTGTACCTTTCTTTCCGAGGAGTTTTGTTCTGCCTATGCTGATGCGACTTCTGAGGGTTTACCCAGAGTGATAAATAAGTCTTCATTTAACAGGGCCTTTAACTTGTGTTCATAAAAAGACAAAATCGACTAGGAGGAGGAGTCTTAAGTCTGCATGAAAGATCACACTAGACCTTGCATTGATTTCCTAAGCTAAACTAAGCTCTTTTCTTGCTACACGTTTGCTCCTTCATTGATGGAAATCTTGTTTCTAAATGAAATTGTGTGAAAAGCAGTCTGGTAAAAGATGTCCAAGGCTAGAACTGGATTTGCATTCTTCCCGTCTGAATGTGACTTCTTTGTATTCACTCACAGCAGTGAAAAATATCTTGTTTCAAGATTCAGTGTGTTAGATGTATAGTCTTCAAGTATCCCTGAGGGATTTCTCTTCTCTTCCATCCTCTTAATGGCTACTGAGCTAATTTTTGAGAGGCGTGGCGCTGAAGACTTTAGGTGCACCTTGTACTGGGCTGCGTGCTTTCTCCGTACCTCCTTTTCTGCTCCCATCTGAAAAGCCATGAGAAGGTGGCAGGTGAGATATCAAACACTAATCTGTTCTGGAAACCGAATAATATTGTGAGTAGTGCCACTGTGGCGCATCCGCATGGAGGCATTCTGCCATGAGTAAGGGACAGCTCTGCTTTCTGTGGGTCCCACCTTACGTGGGGCGAGCAGCTCTTGGGTAACCTGGGCTCTGCTGATCTCTCTGTCAGCCTTGAAAAAAAATCTAGGGCTGAAATACCCCAGGGCAAAAACTCTGAAATGCTCTGAAGTGGTGTGCTGGAAAGGCAAAAGCTTTAAAGGATATCAGAAGGTTATCCCCCCTCTACTCTGCCCTGGTGAGGCCCCACCTGGAGCACTGTGTCCAATTCTGGGCTCCCCTGTTCAAGAAAGATGAGGAACTCCTAGAGAGAGTCCAGAGGAGGGCAACAAAGCTGATGAGGGGACTGGAGCATCTCTCCTGTGAGGAAAGGCTGAGGGTGCTGGGCTTGTTCAGCCTGGAGAAGAGAAGACTGAGAGGGGATCTCATCAACACGTACAAATATCTTAAGGGTGGGCATCACGAGGACGGAGCCAGGCTCTTCTCAGTGGTGCCCAGCGACAGGACAAGGGGCAATGGGCACAAACTGAGACATAAGAGGTTCCCGTTGAATGTGAGGAAGAACTTCTTGACTTTGAGGGTGCCCGAGCCCTGGCCCAGGCTGCCCAGGGGGGCTGTGGAGTCTCCTTCTGTGGAGATATTCAAAGCCCACCTGGACGGTGTCCTGTGCCCCCTGCTCTGGGTGAGCCTGCTTGAACAGGGGGGGTTAGACTGGGTGATCTCCCGAGGTCCCTTCCAACCCCTGCCATTCTGGGATTCTGTGAAGGGCATGCTGCTGTCGCCGTCTGCCTGCCCCCTGCCCGTGCTGCAGTGGTCTCAGGACGCTGGTGGGTAGAGCAGCTCTGGGGAGCTAGGCTGGGCGAGGGTCCCGGCCTGTGTGCGGTGGTAGGGGAGGAGAGCTTGCGTGTTGGAAACAAGGAGCAATCCAAACCATTTTCTTCAGATGGTTCTGGGTGAAGCTGTGGTTCCGGTGGTTCCAGAATTTGAAACTCCAAATCCTGGAGCGTAGCTATAGCCCCTTTTGTTCTTGTCATTACGTGGATTACTGCTGCGATTTGTAAAATACAAATTGTCCAGGCTGTATTCCGGCTTCTCAAAAACAGGATGTGTTATTGTTCTCCCAAATTCTCATGATCCCTCTCCCTGCCCCCCCCCTTTCCCTGGCTCTGCCTGCATGGCCTCCTCATGATGAAAGTGTCCCAAGCACTACTGAAGCAGCATCTTCTCTTGAAAGAATTTTAATAGTTTCTCTTCAGGAACTTCTACACTTCCTTTGACTTTTACTGATACAGTTGCTGTATGGGATGATAGGTTAACTTTAACTAAAAAAAAAAAAAAAAAAGGACAAATTACTTCCTGGGGTTAATGATGACTCTTCCTTTGCTATTTTTATGGAGTAGAAGAGCCACGAGGTTCCCATGGAGGTTCCCTTCTTCACATCCAAAATCGACTTGGTGGTTTATTCAGTGCTTTTTGTCAGCAGGGTACTTTGCTGACTTAGGACAGAAAGCAAGCAGTCGGTCGTACAGGGCGAAAGGTGCCTGTGAGAGTCTGCTGTGCCGCTTCTGTAGGTCGTGTACTGTACGTGACTGGGAAACAGCTCTTTCCAGGTGCTGGTTGGTGGTTTTTTTTCACCCCCCAAAAGAGGAAAAACTGCAGGTGAGCGGATATTCTGCATGTTTCTGTGGGTGGATGGTACTTACATATCAACCTCAGTATATGTGTGTGTGTGTATTGTACATATACTGTTATTTGCTCTCAGTTTTTAGACTTCTGTTGAGTGTCAGACTACCGAATGGCAAACAGTTCATATTTGGCTGCGGGCTCCCGTACTGGAGGACAGCTTCTGGTAACCCCAAGAACAACAGAAAAACCCACCCTTCGTAGCTGGAAAACATCTTACCTTTTTTGAAGTGTTTCTTGGCAGGGTCTGTATGGGAAGCTCGCTTGTTGATAGTATGTAAAATTGGGGTGAAATGCTAGAAGACACAATGTGAAAGCTGCTGTGAAAGAATAAGGATGTAAAGGCTGAAAATAGATATTTGTTCCTTTTGTCATTGCTAGAAGTCAGTGGACCGTGTGAGTGTTTTGTAGTACTTTTTTTTTTCTGGTAGATGCATAAGGTTGGAAAATGATCTGGTGCTCTATAGCAAAGAATACCTAATATTTAGTTTATTTTCTTACATGCTTTTTATGCAGGACTGATCTTGCTTAAACTGGGATGTCGCTGGGATGCCGCTGTATGTGCACGTGGCCTAAGGAAGCTGAGATTTTGTAGGACTGGTAATCTTGTTGGAACTCTGGATCGACTGGATTTATTGCTTCCTAGAGGGGGAAAAAAAAAATCTCGTTGCACGTAGCCTCCTTCTAAAAGGAAAATGGGCAGTGGGGTTATGAGTTAGGCACATGTGATGGGCCTGATTCAAAAGGAGCAGAATTATTTGAGTGGTGAGACTCATTCTGGCCTGCCTGTCCCCCTGCCCCATGACAGCAAGGGGCATGACGTGCCTGAGCAATTCTCCTAGAGCGTGGATGGCAATCCAGGGGTGCTGGAAAACTCACTTTTGGTCATATTACAGAATCAAAGGCTTGGCATCTTGCAGTATTTTTGTAATAAAAAGTTATCTCTGTGGAGTGAATTGTGTGTGATGTATTTTTTCATTGGGTTTAAAAATGTTCTCTTTCTGATTCAATTTTGACTTCTATAACAGCTGCAGATTCTGTCCAATGTTCTCACTTCCATGATAAATATAACTTCAAGTATCTGTACAAGCTATTTCCGTTAGAATAGCACTCATTTGTAATACAACTATGCTTTTCCCCAGAACATCATAGTTTTTCACACAGATGGAAGTAAACAATGCCAGTAGCTGGAGCAAAATGGGCAATAGAACAGCTGCGAAACCCGGTATTTGGCAAATCCCACCATTTAGATTAATCCATTATTTTCTTTTAATCTGTTATCTTCTGTTTAGCACGATGTTGAACTTGAAGTAAATCGCACCCAACTCCAAAGCAGCTGAATTTATATCCTGCAGCCGAAATCCAATAGTGAGCGAGTCTGTTTGTTTATTTTAGATGAAAACTGGGATGATGATCAGCTTCTTGGATTTGAACCGTGCAATGAAAACCTTATAACAGGTTGTAACATAATCAACGGGAAATGCGAATGTGACACCATTCGGACCTGTAATAATCCATTCGAATTTCCAAGCCGGGATACTTGCCTGTCGGCCTTAAAAAGGATTGAAGGTAAGCACTTGTCTTCAGTAATTCAGAGTTAGTAATTTTTCTGTGCATTTGGTGAAAAGCTAGGGTCTAATTTAATGTGCCTTAGGATGACTTGGGTAGTTTGAGACCTGTGGTCTTACACTTTTCAGAAGACAGTGGTATGCTTTAAAGGAAGATAGGCCTTCAGTAAGCTTGGCTTTCCAACTGGGTAGGTTCAAGAATGGAAGAAACTAACGCTTTGTGCTTTGTGGGTTACGATGTTTGCAGATTTTAAGACTAAAACCGTTCTGTTTGTAGTTCATGGTAGCTACCTTAGCGTATCTTCAGCTGTAAAGCAGTGTGGAAAACTCTCCTTAGATGTATTGATGCGACTGAACCGTGACTAAACATAGTGGATTTTAATAGCAAGGGCATAGAAAAAGGAGTAGTTGTTGATTATACTTGTATCTTTTCTTACATGAATGCATGAATTGCTATTTCCTTCAGGTTTACATAATATAGCATTACTTTAATGCTCATTTTCCAGTTTCCATGTTCCTTTGAATAGACTTGCATTGCCTAATGCAAACATATGTTTATGCTTCTGCATGCATACATGATGGATTTTTTGTTTGGGTTTTTTGGTGTTTTGGGTTGGTTTTTTTTGTTGCGTGTAGCTGAACTAGAAACGAGTTAGCTCAAATATATCCTGTTGGAATGAAATTCCCATGGTGTATTCTGAACATTTGTGAAGGTGTATTGTGAAGGTTTGATCTTGGGTCCTTTCTATGATGCTGTAATTACTGTTTATTTTCCAAAGTGTCCAGGAACACGCAAAAGTTGATTAGTGGTGTGAACCTGCTTAATTAGTCTGCTTTAAACCAATGTTAAAAGTCATATTGCAAAAGTGAATGTATTTATAAGGCTACTAACATATTTAAAGTTACTGTCTTGGAGTTAAAGTGTGATCTGATGTCATCTGTCATACTCCTTTTTGTTGTAGGAAAATTGTTTTCAAGCAACAGACTTTAAACAAGGAGATCTCATGAGAAAAAATGTAGTTGGCAGAAACACGTTCATTATCGGCGGTCATGATGTTGGTCACTAAAGCCATACAAGTGCTTTGTGTGGGGGGGTTTTTTTGTGGTTTTTTTAGTTCCAGGAAGAGGAAAGGCACAACCTTTGGCCTCTTCTTTGTTGCTGTAGTAGCGGGCAGTAGCATATACGGGTTCTTAAGTAACCTTACTCACCACTTCTTCCTTTACTTGTGAAGATGTGACTAAGTCTGTAGTAGTTCAGCAAAAGGGCTTCTATTGGCAGCACGATGTGTCCTGTGTTTAACTCGCTAAGAAAATCTGCTGTGGGATGCCTTTTTGGTTTTTGCAGGCTTGGAAGAGATGGGCTTAGTTTGTGGTGTGGCAAAGCTAAAGCAGGTTGATTCTTTGAGTCGCTTGCCTTCAGCAACCTCTTGTTTTGGCTAAATTCCCCTTTTTAAAAGAATAGCATTTTAAGCTTAGCCATGAGGTAACAATATTCTACGTGTAAACTGTCTGGTATGACAGCAATGGTGCAAATGTTTTTCAGAGGTGTAACTTCCTTTTTTTGTTTATTTGTTTTCTTGGTTTTTTTTTTCTTTGGGGGGAGTGGGGTGGGTGTTCTTCCAAAGCCTCAGACTATAGGACACCAGTAGAAGAGTTTAGGACCTGTTGGTTTTTTTTTTTTTTTTTTTTAATCTTTCAGAGATAGGAAGGATAGTTGATGCAAGTGATGAAACCACAACGGTACCCTTGAATACCAGAAATCTGGCAGTTACAACTTGAGTGTTACAACACTCCAGCTTTAACTCGTAAGAATGGGAATTTGCATTTTCATCCTCAGACTATCAAACCCTACCATCGAGGACTCTTTTGAAGTCAAATCCACCCGTATTTCCTAATAGAAGGACAGAAGTCATAGCATAGTTTTGATTTGTCTGCATTTGACAGCTGTCGTCAGTCAAATCTGCCTGCTGTGTTTTGCTCTGTAATT